GAATTTAGAATTTCGAAAATTTGCTTTATGTTGCTAGCTAATCAACGTACTAACTTAGTAACAAAGCCTTAGTATTAACAAATAAAATATCTAGACTTGAAGTAATCTATTTGAAGAAAATGTAAGACTTGATTTTGTAAAACAAATATTAATTCGGCATTTTTTTGCACGATGGACGCTTCGGTAAAAAAGCCAAAAGCTTCCATTTAAATGGGAGAGTGTATTTAACATATAGAATAGTACGTGAATATTTTATTCGTAATAACTTACCTGCGTTGTGAGTTTTAAAAAACAAGACAGGGTTTTATTATAATTTATTTATAACAATTTAATCACGTGAAGTGTTTCTAGAGGGCGATAAAATAGCTTCTCCTTAGCATTGAAAGCACATAGTTTAGAGAATAAAGCACTTATATTATTTGTTGTACGAACTGTACGTTTAGTTTTTATTACTTTTTTCATAATATTGATAAAATTCCTCGTTGTGTGAGCGTAGTCGTGTATGGGAGCGAGTTCGTCTTCGAATATGTCTTCGCCAGTTGTTATCTCAGCAACAGCAAAGCACACGGCTACGGTAGGCTTAATCAAGTTAATGAATTATTGTACTTTTACTGTTTTAGCCCCCTTTTTTCAGAAAAATAAAACGAATGTCGCTTTCTCAATGATTACATTTACAGATAAAGATAAACTTATGTTACAGATTAGGTACTTCAGACATTAGAATTTAGAGTTAGAAGTGGAACGTGGCGCTATTGTAATTCCCTCAAAAGTCAAACTCAAAGTGTCAAACATAGAGTATAGATGTTATAGTTATAAGTTATATTTTTAATTTTTCATGATATTAAATACCCAAAAAGAAAAAAAAAACTGAAAACGAAGAACAAATACCTCCTAAAACTAAAAGTTAAAAGAAACGTATATATAATTTATGATTTTTTCCGTGTTTTTATTTCATTATAAAGTAGGAAAAAAACTAAAAGATGAAAAAGAACTCATTATGTTTCTTATGCTCAAATTTAATTTCTCCAATGCTCAGGAGCTGATAACACAGAGTGATCAGATGGGAATGGCTGATAAATACTAATATAGTCTAATACTGTAATTTAGGAGCACTTCTAGCTATAAATCTAAGTTATTTATAGACAGTGTATTTATTAACTTATATTAAAAAATTATACAGCATGACAGTTAGACTTGTATCTTCAGGTCAGACCTGATTAAACTTTTTTTTTTTTTTAAGTCTGTAAAGGTTGTCCATACAACACGGGATTGTATCTTTACAATCAGTTACTGCTTGTTAACGATGTCATGGAAGTGTGCAGCACTTAGTACATTATTCAGGGGATTTTAAAAGAAAATTACATTCCAAAAATTACTCTTAATTGTGTAAGAAATCAAATAAAATGTATATATGAAATTAAATTTATTTTTACTTAATAACTTTATTACTAGTTCAGTAGTTGTGTAAAATGAGGATGGTAAAGTAAATCAATGCAAAAAAATAATGACAGTATTTAATATAATATCTAGTGACAACAAGGGATTTATTGGTCCATCTAGGCTGTCCCATCCACTAAACTGAACTAAAACTGTTAAAAAAAACAACCCTCAAAAACAGCCTTTATCATTCATATATTTATCAAGTTTTCTCTTTAAACTCAGTTAAATTTACTGCCTCTACAACATCTGAAGGCTACCCATTCCAAAGGACAACCACCCTGTTAGAAAAGTAAAAGTAAAACTGTCTTAGATGGAGATGACTCCAATCCTGCCAAAATTTGTATTTGTACCCAATAGTCCTACCACTCTAACCATTAACTATGAAAAAAGATGATGCATCAACACTATGAATTCCCTTAATAATCTTAAACACCTCAATCAGGTCCCCTCTAACTCTTCTTTTTTTTTTAGAGAAAACAATTTCAGAGATGTTAAACTCTCCTTGTTTGACAACCTATTCATCTCGGGTAACATTCTAGTAACCCTCCTCTGAACCCTATACAACAATTCAGTGTCCTTCCCAAGACTGAACATAATACTCCAATTGTGATCTAACTATTGACCTATACAATGAAATTATAACATCTTTAGACTTTTCAGTATTTCTGTAGATACAATCTAAAATCCTATTTGCCCTACCACTAGCAACAGCACACTGCTTGAAAGACTTAAGAGACTGGTCAACCACTACACCAAGATCCTTTTCTTCCATAACACTGTTAAGGTTAATCCCACCTAAATCATACTTATAATTCAAACCATGATAACCCACATGCATTATCGTGCATTTATTATAATTAAAACCCATCTGCCATTTATTTGCCTAACTCACTAAATGATCTAAATCTTCTTGTAAAGCATCAGCATCTTCACAGTCAGCAACACCCAAGAACTTAATGCCATCACCAAATGTAAGTAATTTATTGACCATTCCTTCATCTGTGTCATTGATAGAAATTAAATAAAGGTCCTAAGACTGAGCCCTGAAATATCCCACTTGTGGTATTATTACAATTTTCTGAACTCCATTTATCCTTCTTTAATCTTCACAATTTTTTCTTACCAAGCTCAGAATTAAAATCATCTTATTCAATCTTTTTTCCATCTATCAACTGTTCAAGATGAGAAATATTGCTTAAATCTTCATTAGTAAAAAGTGAAGAAAAAGCAAAGTTGAATAACTCAGCCATCTTGTAATCATCATGTATGAGTCTTCCTTTATCATAACTCAAAGGTCCTATTCTCATTCTAACATTTTGTTTACCCTTAATGTATTTAAAGAAATCCTTGTTATTAATTTTCATATTTTCAGCCAACCTTTTTTCATACATCCTTTTTGATGTCCTAATTTTGTGTTTGACCAACTCTCTTGATCTTCTAAATCTCCTGTCATACCGGTCAATTTAAATTTCTTAAACTTGTGATGCTTTTCCTTAATTTTATCCCTTATACCGTTTGTGAGCAAACCTGGTTTTTTACTTGCAGCCTCCCTTTTCTGAGAAACATTCTGTTTCAAAAAACATACACTGCAAAAAATACCATGTCATGAAAATGCTAAAAAAAGTATAAAAAATACAGTAGCTTCCTATGTCATCATTTCTAATCATATGGTTACCATATGGCTAGATAAACAGGTCTTGTTCTTCATTTTTAAATGCTAGAACAAGACCTAGTTCTCTAGCCACTGGTGCCATAATTTCTTTCTCAATCTGTATTTGATTTTTTTGTTTATTTTCACTCTGTTTTAATTATGAAAAAAAAAGGAAAGAAATATCAAAATATACTTTGTTTCCTCCCTATCATGACAGGTCACGTGTCAAAGGCCCTGTTATCACATTTGTTGACGTGCATTCAAAATTTTATTGAACTGCTATTTTATGAATTTATGTCAATAAGTT